GACTTTGCCAAAGGCTTTTTCAGCATCTAATGAGATGATCATGTGTTGTTGTTTTTTTTTTCTTTCAGTTTGTTTATATGGTGGATTACATTGACAGATTTTCATGTGTGAAACCATCCCTGCATCTCTGGGGTGAAGCCTACTTGGTCATGCTGGATGATTTTTTTATGTGTTCTTGCATTTGGTTTGCCATTATTGAGTATTTTTGCATCAATGTTCAATGAGGGAAATGGGTCTGTAATTCTCTTTCTTTGTTGCATCTTTGTGTGGTTTAGATATCAGGGTAACTGTAGCCTCTTAAAAAAGAGTTTGGTGATATTCCTTCTGTTTCTATTGTGTGGAACAATTTGAGGAGTATTGGTATTATCTCCTCTTTAAAATTCTGGTAGAATTCTGTGCTAAAACCATCTGGCCCTGGACTTTTTGTGGTTGGGAGACTTTTAATGACTGTTTCTATTTCCTTAGGAGTTATGGGTCTGTTTAAATTATTTATCTGGGCTTGAATTAACTTTGATATGTTTTATCTATCCAGAAAGTTGTCCATTTCTTTTAGATTTTCCAATTTTGTGGAGTGTAGGTTTTTGAAGTATGAGCTAATGATTCTAGGATTTCCTTAGTGTCTGTTGTTATGTCCCCTTTCTTGTTTCTGATTTTGTTAATTTGGGTATTCTCTCTCTCCCTTTTGGTTAGTTTGGATAAGGGTTTATCTATCTTGTTGATTTTCTCAAAGAACCAACTCTTTGCTTCATTGGTTCTTTGTATTGTTCTTTTTGTTTCTAATTTATTGATTTCAGCCCTCAGTTTATTTCCTGCGGTCTACTCCTCCCAGGTGTGTTTGCTTCTTTTTGTTCTAGAGCTTTCAGATGTGTTGTTAAGTCGCTAGTGTGAGATTTCTCCATATTCTTTATGTAGGTACTTGTGCTATGAAGTTTCTTCTTAACATTGCTTTCATAGTGAATATGAACATATTCATAAGTTTGAATATGTTGTGCATTCATTTTCATTGAATTCTAGGAAGTGTTTGGTTTGTTTATTTCTTCCTTGACCCATTGGTAATTCAGTTGAGAGTTGTTTAAGTTTCCATGGGTTTGTAGGCTTTCTGTAATTTGTGTTGTTGTTGAATTCTAACTTTATCCAATGGTAATCCAATAAGATACATAGGGTTATTCCAGTTTCTTTGTATCTGTTGAGATTTGCTTTGTGACTGAATATGTGGTCAATTTTAGAGAAGATTCCATGAGGTGCTGAGAAGGTATATTCTTTTGTGTCTGAGCAAAATGTTCTATAAATATTTGTTAAGTCCATTTGAGTCATAATATCTGTTATTTCCATTATTTCTCTGAAATGCAGTCATGCAGATGGTAACACTCAGGCAGAGGGACACTTATCTTACAATCTATGACAGGAAATGGCCTTTGCATGGGCCAAGCCCCACCTAATTGTGTTGACTTCTGCAATAAAACTCAGAATCTGCCAGGAACAGGATATTTCATTCCTCTGGATGATGTTTGGTGGGCCTGTGCCACTGGTTTAACCCCCTGTATGCATGCCCAAGTTTTAAATGGCACTTGAAGTTTTTGTGTCTTGGTACAGCTGGTTTCTAGGATAGCCTGTTTCTCCAAGGGAGAGATTCTCTATCAGCTAGAACCACTGGGATGGGACAAATTCGAAGTTTTCACAGCTGTCCTAATATCCTCATAGGCTTGGGCATAACCAGAGCCAGAGGCACTGGAACGTTAGCCTTCATCCTCCAAGACCAGCATTATAGGATTCTGAGCATGGCCATAGATGAAGACATAGCCACCCTAGAGAAATCCATCACCCATCTAGAGGAATCTCCATCTCTAGCTGAGATGGTCCTCCAGAACAGAAAGGGGCTAGACTTATTGTCCCTTCAACAAGGAGGTCTATGTCTGGCTCTGGAAGAACATGCTGTTTTTATGCTAACCATTCAGGAGTTATAAAAGACTCCATGAACCTTATCAAAAAAAGGTTACATGATAGAAAACAAGAAAAACAACAAAAGGAAGGATGGTATGAATCTCTATTCAACTGGTCACCCTGGTTAACTAGTCTCTTGTCAGCCTTAGCTGGACCCTTAATCATCTTATAGTTGACTCTGATCTGTGGACCATGTATAATTATTGCCTTAGTTATATTTATCAAAGAATGTATCTCCACAGTCCAACTGATGGTTGTAAAGCAGCAATACAAATCTGTAAACCTAGAAGAAACATCTCCAGGACTTGAAATGATGCATTACTCAAGGGGAGGAATGAGAGGACGAAGCAGATGCCATAACAGGCTGCTCAGTCTTCTGTCAGAGATCCAGCCTCAATTTCAGTTTCCTGAGACTGAGCAAGCAGTTTCTGAGGAAGAGCCACAAACAAAGGACAATCAATCTCCAACACACCCAACAGCAAGGACGAGGAGGCCTACCTAATAAGTACAGTACTAGGCCCAAACCACAGTCAGCAGCTCAAGGTGATAACTTGTCCAGACTTGTCCCAAAATAGAAAAGCTGTAGCCTTAACCAGCTTCTGACTAGCCCTAGCCAATTAGAATGTACTAATATGATTGCCACTTGCTTAAGTCAATCATATCTGAAATGACCTAACTGTCCTAGGAACTCCCCTTAGCTGTGCTTAAGAGAAGCCTGCAAGCTTCTGTGGTGATATTTTATTTATGCTTTAAAAAATAAAGCTTGCCTGAAAATCAGAAGGAGGAGCTAGCCACTAGTTAACCATAGAGGTCTGGAGGTCTGTACAGACAGACAGGAAGTGATAGAGCTGGATGGAGAGAGGAAATGATAAGGTGGGGTAGAGAGAGGAGCTCACAGTCTTTTAGCAGAGGATTTCATAGGGGTAAGAACTAGTGACTGGCTGCTCTGCCTCTCTGATCTTTCAGCTTTACTCCAATATCTGGCTCTGGATTTTTTATTAATAAGACCATTTAGGAATTCATTTTACATATGGTGACCTGTTTGTGGCACAAATTCACTAAAAAGCTACTTGTCTGTGGCCTTGCAGGCCTCCAGCTCAGACCTGAGCTGCATGCAGCTGGGGTCTCTTTGGCTTCTTCTCTCCTGGTGGTTTGTGGGCTCTCTCTGGATTCCCGTCTCAGACTGCTACCACACTAGGTAGCTGCCTTGAAACTCACTCAGGCTTCTACTGCTCTGTGCAGAAGCAGTAAGCCTCACCTCTGAAGCGTCATTGTCGGCAAATTTGGTGAGTCAATTAAGATGGTGGATTACTGGGTATAAGATGAAATAAACTCTTTCTTCCTCAAGCTCCTTTTGGTCTTGGTGTCTGTCACAGCAATAGAAACCTAACTAAACACATCCATATGTATCAAGAAAAATAATTTCTAATTTAAGGAATTAACTATCACATTATATAAAGAGAAATGAAATGATCAAAGCACGTACTGCCACATTGTACAACTTTGGGCAGAAGTACCATGTTGTTAACATTAATATTTCAAAAAGACCACATAAGGAGGTCTTGGTGATTGTCACCATCCCTAGTCCTTGGGTAGATGCAAAAACAGTTCTCAAAGGGAATGAGAAATAGCTTATTCTGGAGCCAATTTGAGTGTCTGTGGCCCCAGAAACATAAATTTAGGTACCCCAATTCCATGGTTTCACGGAGTTTTGTAGACCAGAACACAAAGTTATAAATCAAGGCATTCTTCAGTCATATTAGTGGAAATGTGAAGTGTCTGTTACAGCACAGCAGCAGATCTCAGCTATGGCTTCAGGTGTATGACAGCATTCATAGACTTTGGATTGGTGGAGAAGAGAGCTCTATCAAGTGAATAATTCCAAAGGCTTTTATCTGTTGTCAGGGTGTTGTGGGCATTTCTGCAAACACCAGGGCTAGCAGAGTAACAATCTGCATGAGGCAAGGAGGAAATCTAGTTCAACAGGACTTAGTAGCCTTGTGGAGTCCAAGGCTCCAAATCAACCAAAGCACACACAAGACTCCACACAAAGCAAGATCTTTATTGAATTAGGCAGCAAAAACTGACTTGCTGGGAGCAACAGACTCAGGAGATGACTGTGCCCTGCAATGTTCATTTCAGCAAGTATTTAAGTACAAAACCCACAAACATCTGTGCCAAGTTACTTACATTTTTCTACCAATCAGATGTCAGGGATTAGGGACTTTCCTAGGAACATTGTTCTGTGGTATGTAGTTGGTTGCTTTTGTTTTTTAGGGGGCCTGCCACCCAGCTCCCAAATAAATCACACATGGAGGCTTATCTTTAATTATAAATGCTAGGCCTTAGCTTGGCTTGTTTCTTGCCAACTTTTCTTAAATTATTCTGTCTATCTTTGGCCTCGGGGCTTTTATCTTTCTCTATTCCTTTCTTTCCTTCTTACTCCATGTCTGGCTGTGTGGCTGTGTGGCTGGACCCTGAAGTCTTCCTCCTTCCTCTCTTGTTCCTTGATCTTTCTTCTCCTCCTCCCAGATTTCTCATATATATTCTTTCTGCCTGCCAGCCCCACCTATCCTTTCTCCTGCCTTGCTATTGGCCATTCAGCTCTTATTTGACCAACAAGTATTTTAGACAAGCACAGTAACACAGTTTCACAGAGTTAAACAAATGCAACATAAAGGAATGCAATACTTCTTTTCATCATTAAACAAATGTTCCACAGCATAAACAAATGTAACACATCTTAAAATAATATTCCATAACATTTCCCCCTTTTTGTCTAAATAAAATGAAAGGTGTTTTTTTTTGTTTTTTTTTGTTTGTTTTGTTTTGTTTTGTTTGGTTTTTTTTTGTTGTTGTTGTTGTTTTTCCCGAAACAGGGTTTCTCCATGTAGCTTTGCACCTTTCCTGGAACTCACTCTGTAGACCAGGCTGGCCTGCGCAGAACTCACAGAGATCCACCTGCCCCTGCCTCCCAAGTGCTGGGATTAAAGGTGTGTGCCACCACTGCCTGGCAAAAGGTTTTAACTTTAATGTAATGAGACTATATACAACAAAAAACCATTATCAGGTAAGAATTAGATTTACAATATTCAGTCCATTTGTGTTTAGCAAATTCAGAGAAAACACTCCACCATCCATACCATCTTTGTGACTTCAAAGTTTTATACCTAATCGATCATAACTAAGGAAAAGTGCAACTATAACTATCTAGTCTTTGTTTTTTCAAGACAGGGTTTCTCTGTGTAGCCCTGGCTTTCCTGGAACTCACTTTGTAGACCAGGCTGGCAAACTTAAAGTAATCTGCCTGCCTCTGCCTCCTGAGTGCTGGGATTAAAGGTTTGTGACACCACCGCCTGGCTAAAATTTTAATCAATTAATCAACCAACATAGATACTGTTAGTTATTTGGCGGCACTCTTACCCTGCAAGGAAATGTCATGAAACATGACAGGATCCACTAACAAGAGTTTTATTAAGATAAGAGAGACAGACAAGTGCTCAGGCCTGCAGAAGAGACATATGTGTGAAGAAGAAGAAGAAGAAGAAGAAGAAGAAGAAGAAGAAGAAGAAGAAGAAGAAGAAGAAGAAGAAGAAGAAGAAAGCCAGGAATATGGCTCTGGCTTACAAAAGCTAGGTGGCGCACGCGTACACAGGTCAATGTGGCTACTCCACACATGTGCGTAGATCACATGGTTGTGTTGCATGCTCTTACGCAACCATGCAAAGCCATGGGGTCCTGGTCACTCGAGATGCCTTGGCCCAGAAATGGCTATTTTGACAAGGAACTGGCTAGGCGGAAGTGTCTAGGTCCACCAGACATGCCCAATCGTGGGGGTGTGTTGTGAATCTATCAGATACAGCTTCTTCTGAGTAATTCTCATTCATACATGCTCACTGTAGTTTGAGAGGAATCAAGTCTAAGGCTAGTTCTTAGGCAGATGCCTGGGGGTTGGATGCCTAAAAGCACAGACTGTGTTCCCAGTGCCCAGTGTGGCAGAGTCCATAGTTGCTCAGGCAGGCCTGCCAGGAGTCTTTCTTGTGAGCTTATCTGTATAACAAAGCATCTTACCTGGGTCACACCCTGCTATAGACTGCAGGGGCATGGTGGCTCAAAGAACATTTGGGTCCTCCTAACCTTGGCCCCTAGAAAGGCATTCCAAGCACCATGATCCCAAACTGGCTCTAATTGACAAGTTCAGAGTACAAAGCCTTATATCCTAAGGCCACAGTGGGCATCAAGGAGGGAAGTCCTCTAGCCACACACAGGACTGATGTGCTTTACACAAGAAAAGGGCACATCACATATCTGGAGTTCACGGGGTATGCAGTGGGATGGGTGCCAGCTTCAAACTCAGCTGGGCTATTTGGAATGTCTCAATTCTGTATCAAAAGACACATGACTCTAGCTTGAGGACCTAGCACACACATGTGTTTTAGCAGCTAAATTGTCACAGCTTGCAAACACATATAAATTATTAGTTTCTGGGAGGCCAGTCCCAAGTTTAGAAACAGTACCTGTAGGCAGAAGTTTCTGTCCTGCCAGTCACTCCCAAGTAACCACACAGAAACTTATTATTAGTTATAAATGTTTAGCCAATAGCTCAGGCTTGTTACTAGCTAACTCTTTCATTATAAATTAACCCAAATTTCTCATCTATGCTTTGTCACGTGGCACAGCATGCTCATCATGCTTTTCTTTGCTTCTGCTCACAACTCCCAGACTCTGCCCTTCTTCCCAGCATCCTCTTCATTTGGCCCTCCCACCTAACCTCTACTTGTCCACCTATTGACCACTTAGCTTCTTTATTAAACCAATGACATACATTCACATAGTGTAAATGGATATTCCACAAGTACAACCAAGCTTCTACTTCCATGCTCAGGAATATCAATGTCCTTAAGTCCAGTGAGCTTCAGGAATGCCATCTGTTTACTCATGAGAATTTTGTAGCATATTGGAGGCTGGAAAAAAAAAAACAGAAAACAACCAACAGTCTACTTATATTTCTGGCATATTCTGGAGGAAAGCTGCAGCAATTCTGTGATTCTGTGTCTCCCTATATGAGAGGCTCTTTGTGTCCCCAAGTAATCCCCAGTGGTCAGAAGACCCAGGTTGGGACAACTTACTATTCATCAATTACTCAAGATAGAGAGCAGCCAAGCCCAACATGGCTTCAGTCTTCCTTCTGGAAGGAACTTCTGGTCTCTTCTTGAGAGGCCAGAGGCTCAGGATGAACAGTTTGTGGAGATTGGCCCTTTCCTTCCTTACCCTACCAAGGCCTCCAGCATTTAGGGCAGTGTCTGGCAAGCTCCCAAGGCATGTTGAGAAGAAGGGATGCCATGCATCTGGGAAGCTAGCCAGGGAGATCTATACCATGTGAAGTCAGGGCCTGACCAGATCCTAGGACAAGCCTGCTGTGAGGTGTTCTGTGGCTTCCAAAAGACAAGCCCATGTCCTGACCTGTTGCCTGCAACTATGATCTGAGTTGGATAAGTTTTTATAGGTGAGGACACACTCCAAGGACTGGTCAGGCAGGGAGAGGGCCATCTGAAGACGGTGGCAGACTAATTCAAGCAGCCTCAAGCCAAGGACTGGCAGTTCCTAGAATCTGGAAAAGCAGGAGAGACCCTCTGAACCACTGAGAGACCTAGCTTTAGTCACACTTAGGCTCAGACTTCTAACCACTGGAAGGGCAAGATAGTGGATTCCTGATGGGTTGAGCACCACTTTGTAGTCATCTGTTACAAAGAGAAAACACCTCCCTTTGATTTTCTGTGCCTCAGTTTCTACCCAGTGTCAAAACCACTAGAACTTCAGTCTCTTCCCAGCACAGACTTTGGCTCTCATAAAGAGGACACAAACACCATGGCGCCATCTAAACCCCCGGATGCAGGATACCCACACCTCCCTGGCTTTCTGGGACTGCATTGCCACTCTAATGAGAGCTAAGCACTCAGCAATTGGAGGGGCAGGAGATACCAGCATGAATTTCAAGGGTGGAGACTGCAGGCATAGCACCCAGAGAGCCTGGGAAATTGGTGTGGTGGTGTTTAAAGTGGAGGAAAGAGAATCAGGAGCTGCTGGTCAGGCTCAGTGTTAAGAGAACTCACTGGCTGCTCATCTAGGGAGCCTAGGTTCAGTTCCCAGCATCTGCAGGATGGATCAGTAACTCCAGTTCCAAGGGATCCAGCATCCTCTTCTGGCCTCCACAGGCACTGTATATTCATAGTGTACAAACATAAGTGCAGGAAGAAAAACCCATGCACATACTTTTAAAAAAACATTTAAAAAAATTTCAAGATCATCCTCAGCTACATAACAAGTCTGAAGCTAGCCTGGGCTATAAGAGATTCTGACAAAGAATTCCCAGCATGCTACTTACAGAGCTGAATCTCCTCTCCTGGAACACGTGGTGAATTTAGACTCCCTGGTGCAGTGGATGAAGAAAGAACTGGAAGAAGAAATGTCTTCAGTGCATAGCAAACTCACACTTGTGTTTCCAGAACCTGGCAACATAGAGCTGAACCTCTGTCTGGGGAGGGGATTTCAGGGGCCTCCTTAACCCATCCCTCTGTCCCCAGCTCCAGGCTGGGACACCCTGGAATATGCTCACTGCCACCTTGACCCCTTTAACCTGAGATGCTGCTGGCACTATTTGGGGGCTGTTCTATCTGCAATGATAAAGCCAGAGCCTTGTCAAACACACTGCCTCTCCTAAGACTGAGGAGGTGGCTCAGAATGAATATTGCTCTTGCAGAAGACCCATTTGGTTCCCAAAAGCCATGTCAGGCAGCTCACAACCACCTGTAATTCCAGCTCCAGGGCATCTGATGCTTTGGTTTCTGGGCACCTGTACATATGTGGTATGCGTATGCATGTACACACACACACAAACACACACACACACACAGTTCTCATAGATACACAGACTGCTCTAGTTTTTACTCATCTCTTTTTTGTTTGTTTGTTTTGTTTTTCAAGACAGGGTTTCTCTGTGTAACAGCCCTGCTGTCCCAGAACTCACTCTGTAGACCAGAGTGAGACCTCGAACTCAGAGATCCTCTGCCTCCTGAGTGCTGGGATTGAAGGCGTGCACTGCCACTTCCCAGCATTCACTCACCTCTTTTTAAAACACACCAAATGACGGCGATGATAGCAGCAATGATGGTGATGACAGCAGCTATGACAACTATAACAGTCAGAGGTCCAGACAGGCAGAGATGGTGATAACCTGGCGTCCCTGGAAGGAGACAGACGGGAGATTGCTGAGGCAGGGTTGAGCACAGCTGACAGCTGTCTTATTTATTTATTTATTTATTTATTTATTTATTTATTTATTTATATTTTATTTTATTTTATTTTATTTTATTTTATTTTATTTTATTTTTTGAGACAGAGTTTCTCTATGTAACAGTCTTGGCTGTTCTGGAACTCTGTAGACGAGGCTGGCCTGGAACCCACAGAGATTCACCTGCCTCTGCCCTGCAAGTGCTGGGATTAAAGGCGTACACCACCACCGCCTGGCGGCTGTCTTTATTAGAGTGACAAACCACAGAAGTTCCTGTCCAGGCTCAGAGGCCATGGGGTCCTGTTAAGGTCCTTGGAAGGAGCAAAGGGTGTGCCTCACCAGAACAGCAGCAGGGGGCTCTCCTCCCCACAGACTGCTCAGACCATTCAGGAGTCTTGGCCTCACTCTTTGTGAAATCACAGCCCAGGGAGAGCCCAGCGTGCAGATACTGGGGGATGGAACAGGCTAGAGGGAACTGTGGACCTCAGGCTCTGTCAGCAGCTGCATGAATGGCTGAGGGTCAGTGAAGCTACATATCATGCAACCTAAAGGCTTTCTTAGTCTTAGATAAGGTCTTTCTATTTATTATGTATTTATTTATTGGTTTTAGTATTAAGCATCCTTCTAAAATTGTTGCTCATGTGTTTACCTTATTTTTAATGTTTATTTTTATGTGTATAGGTATTTGTCTACATGCATGTCTGTGCATTGTGTGCTTGCAGTGCCTATGGAGGTCAGAAGAGGGCGCCATATCCCTTAGAACAGGAGTTACAGATGGTTGTGAGCTCCCATGTGGGGGCTGGAAATTGAACCTGGGTCCCCTGCAACAGCAACAAGTACTCTTAACCAATAAGCCATCTCTCCAGCTCCTACTTATTTATTTTTTGATATAGAATCTTGCCATGTAGCCCTGACTGGTCTAGTACTAGGTAAATAGCCCAGATTGGCCTTCAATTCACAGCCATGCTCCTGCCTCAACAGCATATGTGATGGAGTTACAGACCTGTGCTGTCACACTTGGATGTTTTACTTTATTATTTATTCAATTTCATTTCATTATTATTTATATTTATATGCTCATGTGTGTGTCTCTGTATGTATGTGCATGTGCATGCACATGCACACACACACACACACACACACACACACACACACACATATGCAGAGGTCAGAGGAGGACATCGTGTGTCCTGTGCTGTCACCCTCTGCCTTACTCACTCCCTTGAGACAGGGTCTCTCTCCCTGAACCTGCAGCTAGGCTGACAGCCAGTGAGCCCCAGAGATGGAAGCACACTCACACCTGTGGGTTCTTGGATTTGAACTAACACCTGCATGTGTATGCAGCCAGCACTCCTACCCACTGAGCTCCCTGGCCCCATTTTTAAAACAAACACTTTACTGTTATGTGTGCGGAGGTCAGAGGACAATTTTGTTTGGTTTGTTCTCTCCATTCACCTTTACATGGGTTTCAGGTTCTGGGGATTGAACTCTGGTTGCCAGGCCCAAATGGCAAGTGCTTTTATCTTCTGAGATTTCTAAGGCCAGCCCCTGCCTATAGGATCTTTTTTCCCCTTATGTGTATGGGTGTTTTGCCTGTATGTGTATCATGTGTGTGCCTAGTGCGCAAAGAGGTCAGAAGAGGGTGTCGAAAGTTTTGAACCTGGAATAACAGTTGCAAGCCACCACATAGGCTGGAATTGAACCCAGGTCCCCTGCAAGAGCAAGTGCTCTAAACCCCGAAGCCATCTCTCCAGCACCCTCCTGCTTGTAGTATTAAATGAAAACTTTCTTTAGGAGTTGGGGAGATGGCTGGGTTGGGTTGTGAGCCTAGCCTGTAACTGCTGGAGCCTAACCTGTAACTGCTGAGACATCTCTCCAACCCGAAGACAAGATTCTTGACCTGCAGCCCCCCAAGCAAAATCCAGCCAAACACAGTCATTTGTTCATAATCTCTGGCTATTTTTCCTACTGTGGCAGAGTTTAATAGTGACTATAAATGTCAATGTTACCTTCTCAGCTGGTTTAGTTTGGGTTTCTATTGATTTCTGTTTGCAGTTTGAGACCATCATCCCAGGAAGTCAGGGCAGGAACCACTACAGAATGCTGCTTATTGGCTTCTTCCTCATGACTTGCTATGCCTGCTTCTTTATAAACTCCAGGACTACCTACCCCAGGGTAGCATCATCCACAATAGTTTGAGCCTTCCCACATCAATCACTAATTAAGAAAATCCCTATAGGAGTGCCTACAGGTCAATCTGGCAGGGGTCATTTTCTCAGTTGAGATTCTCTTTTCCTAAATGACTCAAGCCTGTGTTAAGTTGATATAAAAACTGGCCAGTACACCAATGAACATTTTTTGGAGAGGGGCAATTTCGAGACAAGGTTTCTCTGTGTAGCCTTGGCTATCCTGGAACTCACTCTGTAGACCAGGCTAGCCTCAAACTCAGAAATCTGCCTGCCTCTGCCTCCTGAGTCCTGGGATTAAAGGCATGTGCTACCACTACCACTGCCCAGCCAGTGAACATTTCTAATGTGAGTTTAGGAGGCAGATCCTTACCTGAGTTTGACTCGAACGTGTCACATAGTGTGTCCATGGTGGCGTTGCATTGCCTGATGACTTTGTCTTTAGGACAGCTGGGAGGAAAGCAGAGCATGTTACTTCCTCCCACCCAGGCAGCCCAGAACACACTCTACACTGCCCACAGGGTTAGGGAGGACCAGCCCCACCCCAACATGGCCCTGGTACACTTTGCCATTCTGGCCAAAAGCACTCTGAAGAGATTAGAGTTTGGGAGTGCCTGTTCTATTTAGGGAAAGACCCCTTCTCTCTCACTTCCTGGATAGAATGTCTGGCTCTGAAGACCTGACCTGCTGTCCCACCACATAGAGGGAAGTCTGCCTAGAGACAAAGACAGTGTGAGTAAGGAAGAAGCAAAGATGTACAGACAATCAAGAGCCTCCATCAAACTGGAGTTGAACAGTCTTTCCTCACGCAGTTCAGTGTTTTCTGAGTCGTGTTTATGGGTGTAGAACCTGCCTCACAGATGCAAGCTATTGCCTGGTGTGGTGGTGAACACCTTTAACCCCAGCCCTTGGGAAGCAGATGCAGGCAGATTCTTGTGAGTTCACACCAGTCTGGTCTACATAGTGAGTCCCAGGCCGGCCAGTGAGACCCAGTTTCAGAGGGTGTTTGTGTGGAGAGATGGCTCAGTGGTTAAGAGCATTTGCTGCTCTTCTAGAGAAAGTAGGTTCTAGTCTCAGTGTCCACACAGTGGCTCACAACCAGCTATAACTATAGTCCCGGGGGATTCAATACCCTCTTTGGGACTCTGTGGGCATCAGACATCAGGCAAACACCATGCACATAACAAACAAACAAACAAACAAACACAGATTCAAGCTATTATACAAGTGGCCTTATTGCTATAGATACTTCTCAAAAATGTCCTCCCAAACTCATGCGCCTTGGAACTTCACCTTGCTTGGAAACAGGGTCTTTGTAAATGACACTAAATGTAGTTGTGTAGCTAGAGTTTTCCGCCTTGCTCACAGTCAGGACAAATCTTTGTCACCCGCCAGTCCCACAGCCGCTCAGACCCAACCAAGTAAACACAGAGACTTATATTGCTTACAAACTGTATGGCCGTGGCAGGCTTCTTGCTAACTGTGCTTATAGCTTAAATTAATCCATTTCCATAAATCTATACCTTGCCACGTGGCTGGTGGCTTACCGGCGTCTTCACATGCTGCTGGTCATGGCGGCGGCTGCAGTGTCTCCTCGCCTCAGCCTTCCGCTTCCCAGAATTCTCCTCTCTCCTTGTCCCACCTACTTCCTGCCTGGCCACTTGCCAACCAGTGTTTTATTTATTGACCAATCAGAGCAATTTGACATACAGACCGTCCCACAGCATAGTTGGGGGGTCACACTGGGTTAGGATGAGTCTTTTTTTTTTCTTTTTTGGTTTTTCAAGATAAGGTTTCTCTGTGTAGTTTTTGGAGCCTGTCCTGAAACTCACTTTGTAGACCAGTCTGACCTCGAATGCACAGAGATCCGCCTGCCTCTGCCTCCTGAGTGCTGGGATTAAAGGTGTGTGCCACCACCGCCTGGTTAGGATGAGTCTTAACCAAGTGATTAGCGTCCTTACAAGAGGGAGTTGTAGTCAGATGCACAGGAGCAAAGTCTATGTGGAGAGAGGTGGCAAAGAGTGATGTGTTCACACACCAAGGAATGTCAGGAACTGCTGCCACCACCAGAAACTAGAAGAGGCCAGGGAGGAGGCAGAGGAGTGGTTCTCAACCTGTGGGTCGCAACCCCTTTCACATGGGTCACATAGCAGATATCCTGCAAGTCGGATATTTATGTTCTGATTCATGACAGTAGCAAAGTTAACGGTTATGAAGTAGGAACAAAAATAATTTTATGGTTGGGGATCACCACAGCAGGAAGAACTGTACTAAAGGGTCACAGAATTAGGAAGGTTGAGGACCACTGACCTGGAGCCTGAAGAGGGAGTGAAGACCTGTGAATGCCTTTGATGTTGGACTTCTTGGCTCCAGAACCATACAAGAATAACTTTTTGTTTTTAGGCCTTGTTTATGGTCATTGTTAAGTGGCCACCAGATTTTATTTTATTTTATTTTATTTTATTTTATTTTATTTTATTTTATTTTATTTTATTTTATTTTATTTTAGGCAGTATCTCACGTAGCCCAGGCTGGCCTCAAACTCACTATGTAACCAAAGAGGACCTTGAAATTCTGATCATCTGGCTTCCAGAGTACTGGGATTATAGGCATACCACCGTACCCAGTATATGTGGTTCGAGAGATTGAGTCCAAGGCTTTGTGTATGCTACAGGAGCACTCTATCAATGGAGCTACATTCCTGGTCCCACAGAATTCCTTTTATAAAGTTTCATTTTGTGTTTAGACATGTGCATGTGTTTGTGTCTGTGTGCATGTGTACATGAGTGCAGGTACCCACAGAGGCCAGTAGAGGGCATCAGATTCCCTAGAGCTGGAGTTATAGGCAGTTATGAGGCCCCTGATGTGGGTGCAGTGAACTGAACTCAGTTCCTTAGAAAAGTGAATCACATCTTATCCCTGAGCCATCTCTCTAGCTCTCCTTCCCCATTCTTAATTAACACTAAGTCACTTTTGCCATCCTCTCTGCCTAGAGTTCTTTCCCCTTGAACTTTCTATGGTTGCATCTCTCCCTGATTCACTGAGCCTTTACCCATAAATAACCTTGTGATTCCTCCAACTGAGTGTGCAGTGGCCCTCATGATCATGAATTTACTCATCACCAATAGTGTTTTTTCCCCCAGACATTATCTATATCTCAAGGAGACCTCAAACTTGCTATGTAGTTAACCTTGCACTCCTGATCCTCCTGCCTCTACCTCCCCAGTGCCAGGACAACAGGCTGTACCACCACACCTGATTTTTGCAGTTTTGGGGGTGGAACCAGGGCCTTGTACATGCTAGGCAAACACTCTACCAACTTAGCTTCATCCTCAGTCCATCAGTAATGGTCTTATGCTATGTGTGTATCTCCGTTGTGTGTCTCTCACTGTTGGGGCTCAAAGGTTGTTTGTTGAGTGAATTAATGAGTGAGTGAATGAATGAGCACTGACTCCAGGCAGCTTCTGGGAGGAAACATCCTTTGTTTGATTTTACCTGTGTGGCAGGTGCTGCCCTCATGAGCCCCTCTATAGACAGGGACTCAGAGGCTAGGGGACTAGAGGGCAGGAGTGGGGATCTACACTCATTGTGTCCCCCTCCCCCGCCAGCTGGTACCTGCTGCATGGAAGGCACTTCTCCACACAGTTTTCAGAGTTACAGTAGGCGCCCTGCTTGCACTGGCACTTACGATCAGCCGTCTGGGAGCATTCTGACACCTCCTCTTGGTCTATGGAAGCAGGAAGGCTGCAGGTCAGTCATCAGGGTGGGAGTCTGTCCCAGTGTACAAAACTCCATGACACAGTAGTCGTCTTCACAAGCTTTTCACTCTGGGCACATAATCTGCCTTCACCCTGCCCTCTAACACAGGGACCATGCCAACACCACAACCAGCCTCCCTTTTCTTCCACAGAGCCCCTCCATCTGGGCTGGAGAGGAACGGGGAAGGGGTGTACCTCAGGAGTACCCAACCCCCAAGCTTCCTTTCAAGCAAAGGCTCTACCGTGGAGCAGCACTCCCAGCCCTTAGTGGGGGACGGGG